CTCACCCAGTGAGGTGGTGTTTATGGCAAAGAGAAGAGGTCCTAGTACAGAGCCCTTGGGGACTCCTGTGGCAAGATGGTACATGGTAGAGGATTGGCAGAGCCAAAATAAACTGAATGATCGTCCTGTGAGGTACGATTCAAACCAGGTGTGTGCTTTCTCTGTGATGCCCATGCTAGAGCGTGTGGACAAAAGGAAGCCATGGTTGACAGTGTCAAATGCAGCCGATAAGTCGAGCAGGATAAGCACTGAGGATTTGGCAGTCGCTCTAGCTTCTTTTAAGAATTCCGTCACTGCTAACAGAGCAGTTTCAGTGGAGTGGCCCTTTTTGAACCCAGATTGGTAAGAGTCAAGCAGACAGTTTTGTGAGAGGTATTCTGTGATCTGCTTGAAAGCCACCCTTTCAATGGTTTTAGACAGAAAAGGGAGGAGAGAGGTAGGTCGGTAGTTCCCCACATGATTTGAAGGAAGAGATGTTTTTTTTTTTACAAGCGGTTTAACCTGAGCATGCTTGAGAGAGGTGGGAAATGTACCAGATGTCAGTGAAGCGTTGATCACATGTGTGACTGCTGCGGCTACTGTAGGAGCAATAGCTTGGAGCAGCTTAGTCGGAATGGGGACCAGTGGGCATGTAGTAGGGCGGCCGCACATGAGAAGCTTGGACACACAGTTCTCAGTGAGAGGGGAAACAAGAGGAAAATGAAGCAGTAGGGCCTGAGACGGTTGGGCTAGAAGGAGTTTGTGGTAGTGAATGTTCAGGAGTGACCAGTTGAGTAAACTGTTTGCTTATAGCTGCCACTTTGTCAGTGAAGAATGAGGCAAAGGTGTCAGCTGATAGATTGTTGGTAGGAGGTGGAGAAGGAGGGGTGAGCAGAGTTTTGAATGTTGAAAATAGTTTCTGAGAGTCAGTAGAGCTGAGAATTTTGTCAGTGTAGAAAGCTTTCTTTGCATCAGTGATGCTGGCAGAGAATGAGGACAGTAATTCATGAAATTTCAATTGATCCCCAGGATCTTTTGTTTTGTGCCATGAGGTAAATCAGGCATTATGTGTCCGTGTAAAAGAAAACCTAACCAGGTTTATGGAAATTTCTGCTGAGGAAAAAAAGCACCTGATTCTTAAATACTTGAGCTGTCTGGGAATCAAATATAATGTTGAATATTTACCTTTCTGAACTGGGGGTGTTTTTTTTTTATCTCAGGGAGGAAAAAGTAGCCATCTGCTGAACTGCTGGATTCACATAAGAAGCAGTTATACGTACATGAGGGGAAGTGTAATTCATCTAGTCTTGTGTTGTGAGTGTCAGAGATTGTAGCTTACAAATCATCAATCAAAGACATGAAAATATGTTGATGATTCTATTTTACATTCAGGATATAAAATCTTGAGATTTTATATAATTTATCTAAATCAAACTTCAAATTCTGAGGTCAACAAAAAAATGTTCTAATAATTTAATGGGATGGTTTCTGCCCCATCACAGTATTACCAGTCATCAGAAGTGCTAAATGGAGGTGGGATATCCTGAAATGACTTGTTTCTTTCTTTTTAATTAATGTAGTAAAAATAAATGGCAGCGCTTTTCTAGAAGAGAAGAACAGTCTGTTAGTGTAGCAATGCCATTCTGGACTAAAATCACCCTTGAAAGAGTGAGGTGGCGTTTGGGCAGTTTAGCTCACTGAGAGAAAACAGCTTCTCTTCCTTTTTTATTGCTATAGCGCTTTTCGTGTCTGTGCCAAAAATCCAAGTTCAGGATGTGCAACTAGGACAATCTGATTCAGAAAGAGTGCTCAACTTGATGGTTGAATCATTAGTTAAGTTCCCTTTGTTAATCTGACCATGAAAAGGCAGATAGTTGATGAAATGATGCACGAGCTAGTGAAGAGGAAAAAAAGCACAAATGGATGTAAACTGGTTCAGTTTTCGAATATTACGTCTTCATTTTAGAAAATCTTTTTTGTGACTCATCCGTCCAAAAGATTGCCTCTTGTGTTTTTTCTTCTTCTGTATTTAGACGACCATTTAAACTACCATATAATATGTCAAATTAATCAGACCTGTGGTGTGTTCAAGAAATATTCTATGTATTAGAACAAACATTCACTCTTCATTAAGGGAAACCACTCATTTAGTGCCTTTAGTTGTAGGTAAGATGGGAAAGCTGTGGCTCCATGTTTGAGAGAAAACTAAACATTTTTAACCTCCAGTCACATTCACCATAGCAACAGTATCTGAGTGCATTGCTGGCCAAAACCATGAACAAAAATTATTTGTGAAAGCAAAGGTGGAACAATATCGTCTTCACACATTGTCCCTCCATGTTATGAAAGAGTTCTGCTCATGTTTTGTAAAACCAATAATATTTCTAAAGGATGGAAATGGAAGAGAAATCAGAATCTGAAGCAAGCCTCTTCCCCACGTTACTTTGTTGCTTAGTGGGAGATAACTGTTTATCACAGAGGGACATCAGTAGCTCGGGAGGTAGAGCGGGTTGTCCAGTAGACACTTAAACCTGCTGATAGTGGGCAGAGGAACCAGCGGCGCCAGTGCTAAGCACCCTCGCCACTGTCATTGCGCCCCAGGGCAGCTGTGCCTACATTGTAGCTCATCCTCACCAGCGTGTGAATGTGTGTGTGAATGGGTGAATGACTGGTTGTGTTGTGAAGCGTCTTGGGGGGTTGTAGAACCCTAAGAAGGCGTTATACAAATACAGACAATTTACCATTTACAGAGAAGGTATCCTGAATCAATCTGAGAAGAAACCCTTAAAGTGACAGTTTGTAGTTTTTAGCATTAGTCTCTGGAATGTTGTTGTAGTAAAAGAGCTAAAATATGCCCAGTTTATGAAAAATGTTGGCAGTTTCATAACTTATAACCACAAAAAGCTGTTGTAAAATACATGGGAGCGGATCTAAGTCTCTGGGTGACGTCATATTGGATGCCATGATTCCTTTTACTGAGGCCCGAGAGTACAAAATACATTTACTGATTTGGAACAAATGGTTACAAAATTTTCACCATTAATAAACGTTGTTTTATACATTTACCTCTTCACTCGTTGCCAGTGATGAAAGGGAATATTGCTATTGTTATTTTGCTGGAGGCTGAGCTCGCAGGGATTTTTGACCCTAATGGCCATCCAATGGTAGGGTCTTATTTGAACACAGAAATACTGCTTGCTTGCAATCATTTAGGTAAGTACTGCCCCCTATCGCCAGGTAAACTACACACTGTCACTTTAAAATATCAACAGGGATGAGTTAGGGAAAAGTCTTAGTGCCAAAGAAAAGGATAATAATTTGAGGAAAGTGACAGCTAGTCAGAATGTGTTTAGTCAAGGAGAGCCTAATGGAACTGGAAGCTCACTCACTAAGTAAAGACAGCATCAGTTTAGAACAGCACCAAAGTGTTGGTTTTCACATAGTTTGTTGCATCTGTGTTTTTTGACCCATTTGTCAGACTTTTCTATGGTGACTGAAGTAGAACAACAAGGATTTCATAAATATTAAAAAGCTTTTATTCACATTTACTTCAAGTTGATGCAAATGGTTGACATTACAGAGTCGATCCTTCTTTTTAAACTATCCTTTTTAAGTGTGAAGGAATTCTACCTGTACCTCTACCTTCCTCTTGAAGAGTTGTCCAAGGAGTTTTCCATTCATGTATCAAATATGCTAATGTTCTGTTACTTGAGCCTCTTAGTTCTGACTGTGCCCTCTGGCCGGTTGCTCCATCATCATGGAGAAGACCTTTCATCACCAAACTGTTGTTGGATGGTTGGAGGAGTTCCTCTGAGAGGATGTTTGGGTACCATACTTTATAACTATAAACTGTGGGTGAACCACACACACACACACACACACACACACACACACACACACACACACACACACACACACACACACACACACAGGACTCATGGGAACAATCGCCTTTTCTTCTCCAGTCACTATTTTTTTCAAAATTCTCCAAACAACCGCCAACGAGATTCCTCAGAGAAAATTACTTCCCTTTAGTCCTGAGTCACTTCATAGTGACCCTCTTTATATATTTCAATGTAGAGACATTGTGCTAATTACTTGCTGTATCATGTCCTAAGCTTTGAGCACCTAATTAATGCTAAGCCAACTGGGTCCAGTCACAGCTGATGACAGCGTTTCTTAATTTGTTCTGGAAAAACTAGGCTAACAACCTTAGCGTGACATTTGGTGGAGAAAAGGGAGACATAAAGACGCTTTAGCATTTTCTGTGTTTTGCTTTGCAGATCTAAGTGTAGAAACACAAACAGGAGACAGTAGAGAATTGTCATGTTTTTACCAAAACAACGTTGATACGACAGCCTTCAGCGGCAGAGAGCTGCAGAGACGAGCTGGGGGGTGGAGTTGGGTGTGTGTGTGTGTGAAAACATGGATGATTTGGGCATGGCTGCTAACTCTGCTTGTCCACTTCCTGAGTTCCTCCCTCCCCTCCTTTCATTCAAAGCCCTGACATATGCAGCTTGCTTTGTTTTATCACCGAAGGCTGCATTCGTTTCCTGTCTGTGCCATGAACTGTACACCAACTCTTCCACCCTGGCTTAAATAATTAATCTCATCTTGAAGCTGTGTTGCAAATTATGCACTTTAGATTTAGATATCAAAGGAAGTGTACAGCGCATTACATTGACACCCTTAAGGGTGATTGGAACACCAATTCAGCCTGCGGTTGGATGCTAAATAAAAATTTCAAAAGATAGACACAGCTATTATCTGATGGTAAAAGCAGACTGAAAGAGTGAAGACAGTTTGGAAATAGGGTGAAAAATGGCCCTTTTAATTAAATTGAAGATATTTTTGTGATTCTACTCGCAGGAGGAAATCCCAACTCTCCCATTTCCACCAGTGTTTGTGTTGACACACAAAATGACTAATGAAAAAAAAAAACAGATGTTCATGTTCCTGTTGACAGAATAAGAACAACCTCTGGTTTTTAATTGCCTTTTCCTCCTTCTCGTCCTTTTCAGACACAGCATATGTTCGTGTTTTTATCAGCGACGTCAATGATAACAAGCCAACATTTGGACAGGCGTTTTATGAAGTTGACGTGGACGAGGACGCCGACGTAGGCTTTGCTGTTCTCACAGTCAGCGCCAATGATGGGGATGAAGGTAGGTGGTGTAAAGAAAGAGACGCTCTACATGTGCATCTTTGTGTTTTGACATTTTATTATATAGACAGAGAGGAATGTGTCAAAGAGGTGGTGAGGCTAGTGCTATGAATTCATAATCCAACACACTGACTCATGCACGATGCCAGCCAGCTTTAAACGCTACTAATGCGACTGCTTTTGTCTGACTCCTTCCTACTTGGAAGAAATCACTATAAAATGTGTCAAGGCAAATAAAACACTGTCATATCCAAAAATACACAACTTGTGGGGAGGAGAGAAGTGGATTCCAGTGTCTAAGCTGAACGGGAAATCACTCCAGAGACATGTTAAATGCAGGGCTTCGGTTAAAACTCAAAGTTAGCACAGCTTATACATCAAGGCTTGTAATTAGTCAGTTCAATTAATGTGCCATGACTTCTGGTTGTCAGTGCTTGAGGCCCTGTCCACACGTAGCCGGGGATCTGCCAAAACGTAGGTATTTTTCTACGTTTTGGCCTGTCATCCACACGAAAACGGAGTTTTTTTCACACGAAAACGGATCTTTTTAAAAACTCCGGCCAAAGTGAAGATCTGCGTTTTCTCCGTTTTGGGTGTCTGTGTGTGGACGGACAAAACCGGAGTTTTAAGGTCCGCAACGTCACTTTCCGCGACAAAAAATGCTGACATCACGCGTGCGACCTGTGTTTACACTAGCCGACAGCATGGATGCCCTCAGAGCTGCACTCGCTTTATCAATTGTCCAAGCGCTTTTTGCTTGTTTGTTTTTGCAAGCGGAAGACCACAGACGAAGGACGAGGTTAAGAACGGGGGAAGTACTGCCGCCTACAGGTCTGGCATGTCCTTAACAACGTATTTATCCGGGTACGTGTGGACAGAGTTATTTTTAAAAACGAGGTGGTGTGGATGCAAGTTTTTGGAGGGGCGGATATTCGTTTTTAAAAAACCCGGCTACGTGTGGACTAGGCCTTAGTGATAGGGCAGGTGGGGACATGTCTTCAGTCCATCTCACAGCCGGTTTTTACACAATCACAGTTAAAGTTTTATGATTGTCAGGGTTACTTTGAAACTGTCCAAATCATTCTCCATCTCTTTTTCCTCTCACAACCTTTTAAATACAAATTATACATCACGACATTTTCCACCTGCTGCCTCCCACTGCTGTAGGACTTACAGTTTCCTTTCAGAGTGCAGAATGTACACGTCTACGCTTCCATAGACTTCAGGTAGATCTTAGCTAAAGATACTCTTCATGCCCAAAGGTGAAGGGTCTTTTTTAACGTCTGATGGATCCTCAATGAAACACTGTAAAAACATAAAAGTTCACTTGTCATTTATTTTTAAGTCAACTTTTACTTTTCACCCAGCAGTCTGAAGCTTGCGCATCAGAAAGTTAAAAATGTCCCCCTTTAAAACATGTCCAAAAATCAGAATGACTTTAAGCAGCTACATTAGAGTATCACCAACAGCAAACTGAACAGGAGCAAAAAAATACTTTTATTCTTAAAATTGGCTTCAGGCAGGATCAGGGCTTGTATGTGATTTTGTTGTCTTTGCTTATATTCTCCTCTAATCCTAAAGCATGTTTTCAGCATGAGAATGAATGATCACTGTGTAAAAATCATAGAACATAAACTATCCTAAAGTTTTAAAATATGTTTTGTTTGTTTTCATCTCAGAATTATTTCCTTTCACATGAGAAATGAAATAGCTCTGTTACTGTATTTAAAAATAGCTCTCTATAGCTTTCAGTAACAATAAAGCAACAAAAAATACACTCATCTCTGAAAGTGTGTATAGAATACTTGCAATTACACATGGCAACATCCGCATTTTGCTTTCCAGTGAAGGCTAATACCTGCCTGTATCACATGATGCAGCAATAACACCAACATTTATTGACTTGTTTTTATTTAAAATGTTCTGCCAGTTCTATACAAGCTTTGTTTTATGCTTTGAAGCACTGCTTTATTCCAGACATCTTATCATGAAAGCTGCAGCTCTATGCCCGTAGTTTCAGTGACAAACTGGTGACAGTGGTTTGTAAAAAGGCTTTGTTTTTGAGTAAAACACCAATTTCTGGCCAAAGTCCATAAACTGTTTTTAAATGATGCTGTTACAGTTCAGATTGGATATTTGGCTCACATCTCATACATTTGTGATGGTTGTCAGTTTTCTGGCATAAGGGACTTGCTCAAGTGTTGTTGGGGTGTTGGAGCTTTTCAAAAGCTCTTGCAAGACTAATGTCTTTGCTGTTGTTTTGCACATGTCAACAACCTGTCTCCATCCGTACACAACTGTTGCTCAATTCAAGCCTGGTTCACAGGGCAAGGTTATAAAAATGGTCAGAAGAGACACACCACGAATGAACTGGTGTCATTCACAAACATTCCCAGGTCCAACTGGAAATCTGGTAGAACCTTTTGAAATCAAATTTGACTTTGGACTAAATAAATATGGCTGACAAGAAAGATGATTTGGATTGGCCTTGTGCTATGTAGCGTGCATCCAACACCTTGGTTTCTAATTGGCCACATTTAATATCTGCACATTTGTTTGTTCTCAGGGCACATCACTGCTGCGGTATTCAGCCAGTCCAGCATGTTGATTATTCCTGATTCATGATCAATGCTGTCCTGATGTCTGCTGTCTGCTCACCAGAACCATTTGAACAAACCGCACAGAGCAGGGATATCTGATGAGATTATCTTCACAGCCATAAAGGGGCATGTTGGAAAGAGAGAATTAGGTCAAAAACCAGCATTTTCTTGCCGGGCCTGAGTTTGACTCAGATTTCAGAAGACATTTGAGACCATTTCTGACAGGTTTGGTGAGCAGATGGTGAGTAAATTGTATCTGAATCACTAAAGAATCAATAATTGAAACTATGTTTGACCAATTGTAAAATGAATGTGCACGACTGGCCCAAAGTGTTTGGCTTTGCATTTGTATCTCCCTAACTCATCACCATTAATCACAATAAAATACTGATTTTATTAGATCACATTGTAAAGATAAAGAGTTTACAGGAAACCAACACACTGACCAGTGTCTCCAGTTTGATTCTCACCACCCACTGGAACATAAACTTTCCTCAGTACTATATAGCATAAGAAAATCAAGTGATAAAGACGGAAAAAGACTCACAATGTGCCTGGGTTTAATGACCATAATTAGTGTGTTTTATTCTAAAAGCACATATAAGCCCTGAAATCTCACCCCATGATCAGGGGTCCAACACAGACCATGGCACTAGGTGTAAATGTATGTTGGTTTACATCTTCAATGTCAATGTTTCAAGTCTTTTGTTAGGAAATGACAGTTATCATCCAATCTTCATAACATCCACAGCACATTTTGTTTCTGGTAATAATACTTTAGGTGCATTTCCCTTTCAGTTAGAAAGGGACAGCAGTATCTCAGGATGTAGAGCGGGTCTAGTAATCAAAAGGTTGCAGGTTTGATCCCAACTCCGACTAGGGAATGCTGCTGTTGTGTCCTTGAGCAAGACACTTAACCTGCCTTACCTGCTGGTGGTTGTCAGAGGAACTGGTGGTGGCAGTGTTTGGCAGGCCTCACTTCTGTCGATGCACCCCAGGGCAGCTGTGGCTACATTGTAGCTCATCCCCACCAGCGTGTGAATGGGTGAATGACTGATTGTGTTGTGAAGTGCTCTGGGGGGTTTTAGAACCCTAAAGCTTGGTTTATGCTTGACACATCCGCAAGGTTCGCACGGCTCCACGCGTCAAACTTGCGTCATTTTAACAACCACGCCCCTCCACCGCGCCTCCGCACGGCCCAAACTTTCCTCACCGTGCACCTATGAAATTTTCTAACCACACGGACGGTCGGACGCGGAAAAACATGGTGGACCGGCAAGAACTAGTATGGCAGAGGTTCGTAAATTCAGACATTTGTATGATTCAGCTCTCAGAGATCACCGTGATCAACATGTTGTTAATAATTCTTGGAGAGAAATAGCTCGCACTGTCGGAAAAGATGAGGACGCTGTGAAAAATGCTGGAATGCCATGTTGTAAACAACAGTCATTTTTACTTCTACTATGGTGTAGTGTTGGATGCATGCCGTAGAGCTCCATGCTGCCCCCTACAGTTTGGGAGAATATTGGCTCACCGCAGAGACAAGCCGCATGAACCATAAACGCTGCAAGTTGTGAAGCGCGTTCCATCCGCGAGCCGCATCACCAAGCGGAAAGTAAATGTGTCAAGCATAAACCAAGCTTAAGAAGGCACTATACAAATACAGGCTATTTACCATTTTATGATAAATAATGAATGGTGGAGATGGTGCAGTACAGGGCTCAACCACAGGGTACTTCCACAGCTAGAGACCAATACAACACTGTTCTCTGTGTTCTGTTTCAGTAGAGTACAGTACCCAGGGAGCTAGAACAACTTTGAAATCAGTCCAGTTGGGATAAAATATTTATTTTTCAATTGTTTGTTTATTTTATGTGTTGCAATATTCCCTGTGTGGTTAGTTTCTGCTCCTCTTTGGTTTTCAGTAGCTTTGTAAATACTTAAGGGATTGAGATGAGTATAAAAAGACAATGAGGCTATATTGAAGGAATCTAATCGTATGAATTCCCTAAAGTCTCATTTAAAATGAAAACAGACAGACGGTACAAAACGATCTGGATTAGAGCATTCTCTTCTCTCCTTCCTTGACTTTCATCTTGCTAATAAGCTGTGAATCTCCTCTTCAGAGGCCTCTTCTTTCCCTTTCACAATAACATCAGGGGTGGTGGGTGCAGGGGCAATTGAGATGCATACAATGACTCGTAATTTTACTGAGGGACGTATGTAGATTGGCGTCTAACAGATCATCGTGTGTGGGAATTGTCAATTTAAGACGTTTAATAATGAGAATGGGAACCAACTCTAAAAAAGGGTATTTTTCTGAATTAATGTAACTGATACTTAATGTAGTTCTGACTTTTTGTTTGAGCATTAAAATATTTTAGAAATTATTTTAAGATACTGATAAAAAGCATTCTGCCATTTATGGCAGTGCCAGATATTTTACTTTTTTCAGATGTTCATTTTTTTTCTTTTATCATTTTTCAAAACCCTTAAGCAGTCCTACACAATGTAAGGAAAAGATGCAATTGACGACTTTAGTCATAATGGCAGCGAGCGGTTGGATTAAAAAGAACCTCTAGTCGTTAATGGCAGTTAATGAGTTAACAGCAGTGTATTAAATTCCTTATATTTCTTCCTTTACTGTTTGAGATACAAGTTTGTGACAGTAATGTGGAGGTGGCATATATATATATAAGAATTCCCACCTCATCCTCTGTGGGTGGTCTCGTCCTTACAAGCTCGGGTCCTGTACCAGAGGCCTGGGAGCTTGAGGGTTCTGCGCAGTATCATAGCTTGTCCTAGAACTGAACTTTTCTGGAATGAGATGTCTGATATTTTTTCCGGGATCTGCTTTAGCCACTCCTCCAGTTTGGGGGTTACTGCCCCAAGGGCCCCGATGACCACGGGTACCACCGATGTCTTCACTCTTCAGGCTTTCTCATGTCAAATGGTAAATTTACCATTTACCATTTCTCATGTTCTTCTTTGAGGCCCTGGTACTTCTCTAGTTTATTGTGTTCCTTTTTTCTGATGTTACCATCACTTGGTATTGCTACATAAACCACAACAACTGTCCTCTGTTGTTTGTTCATCACCACAATGTCCGGTTGGTTTATCACCACCGTTTTTCAGTCTGGATCTGGAAGTCCCACAGGAGCTTGGCTCTCTTGTTCTCAAACATCATAGAAGGTGTTACCCACTTTGACCTTGGGGCTTCCGGTCCATACTCTGCACAGATGTTTCTGTACACTATACCAGTCACTTGGTCGTGGCATTCACTGTATGCTTTCACTGTCCGGCTCTTCAATTATCTGTCAATGGTACATCCTATGTAGGAGCTTGTCCTCCCATGGTGGTATTTCCAGAGTCTCCTCCTTTATTCTCCATTGTCTGAGACATTCACTGAGCCCATCATCTGTTGGGGCCTTATCCTTGATGTATTTATGGATCTTTGATGTTTCGTCTTGGATAGTGTCTCATACACTCACTAGTTCTCGGCCTCCTTCCTTATGGCTACTGTAGATTCTCAGGGACTTGGAACCCTCCATACATGGTTACTAGTATCTTCCGTGTCATGACAGGAAGGAACATGATGTTGATAATACATTATCTTGTGTTCAGAGCTGCAGAGAGGCTCGGAACTCCAGCTGATGGAATGTAGGACCCAGCAGATTAAAGGCAGCACATGCAGACTCCTGTCTCCATGTCGACCAGATATTGAAGGGTCAAACTGTAATTAAAAACTGACCATTTCTGGAAAAGGGAAGGAAAGTTTAGTTCCCAGGCAGAGGCATCAGGAGTGAGGAAAAGATGAAGATGAAGAAAGTATCATTTCTATAGCACCTCTCAAGACAAAAATCACGAGGCGCTTCACAAAAACAAAAAAAAAGTAAAAATATAAAAAAGCATTTAGAAAATGTTTAAAAATATATTTTAAATGAGCAAACACAGGCAATTGGGATTTAAAAGAAAAAATGTTAAGAAAGAGAAAGAGTGAATAGGAAAGAGGGGAATCAGTGGATCCTGAGGAATGTGGAATAGGTGGGGAGAGCAGAATAAAGCGAGAGTGGTGAAGAAGGTCATACAAAAGCCAGCTTGAACAAGTGAGTCTTCAGCTGCTTTTTGAAGGAGAACACTGAGTCCACTGGTCTCAGGCTCAGGGAGAGAGAGTTCCAGAGTCTGGGGGCCACAGCAGCAAATGATCTGTCACCTTTGGTCTTTAGCCTGGTGCTGCACAGCCAGTAGGCTTTGGTCACTGGACCTCAAGGACCTGCTGGGGGTGTAGGGACTAAGAAGATCACCAATGTAAGATGGTGCTTGTCCATGTAAGGCCCTATAGACCAGAACCAGGATCTTGAAATGAACCCTGAAGTTGACTGGCAGCCAGTGAAGCTGGAGGAGAAGCGGGGTGATGTGGGTGTATTTGGAGGACTTGGTCAGAAGCCGAGCACAGGCGTTCTGAACCACCTGTAGACGGTTCAGGGAGGTTCTGCTCAGACACGTGAAAAGAGAGTTACAGTAGTCTAAGCGTGAGGAGATGAAGGTGTGGAGAACTGTCTCAAGTTCAGAGCGAGACAGAATGGGACTCAGCTTAGCAACGTTCCTGAGATGGAAGAAGGAAGAGCGAACAAGAGAACTGACACGAGAATCCAGGGTGAGAGCTGGGTCAAAGGTCACACCAAGATTCCTGACAGAAGGTTTGGTGCGAGAAGCAAGATGACCAAGAGAGTCTCTGACTTTGGAAACCAGCTTGTCTGGGGCACAGATGAGGATCTCAGTCTTATCTTCATTCAGCTGATGAAAGCTCCCACCATCCAGGTCTAAGCAGGTGTGTAACAGCTGCAGCTTAGACATGGGGCATGAAGGAGATGTAAAGTTGGATGTCATCTGTATAAAGATGGTAGGAGATTCCTTTGAAGGAGCTCAGGATATGCTGAAGAGGAAGCAGATAGAGGAGGAAGAGCAGAGGCCCCAGCACAGAACCTTGTGGGACACCATGGGTAAGAGAGGTGGTGGAGGACCTCAACTTGGAGACGGCCACAGAAAAGGAGCGCTCAGAGAGATAAGAGGAGAACCACTTCAGAGCAGATCCTGATAGGCCTGCCCAGTCTCTCAGCCTTTCCAGTAGCAGGTGATGGTCAACAGTGTCAAAGGCTGCAGTCAGGTCCGGCAGGACCAGAACAGAACAGTCCCCTGCATCACTGTGAGTCAGAAGGTCATTAGAGACCCTAAGAAGAGCTGTTTCACACACACACACACACACACACACACACACACACACACACACACACACACACACACACATATATATATATATATATATATATATATATATATATATATATATATATATATATACCTTATTCTTAAAAAAAATCTGTCAGTAACTAATCATTATCATTCTTTCTCTGCAGGTGGAAATGCCAAGCTACGGTACCAGATTACATCAGGAAACACGGGGGGAGTGTTTGATGTCGAGCCAGAGGTGGGCACGATCTTCATTGCTCAACCTCTGGACTATGAACAAAATAAAAGGTATGAGATCACTTCAAGAGGCAGAGGATAAAACCTGTGAGGAGTAAATCATTTATAAAACTCTGCTTTGTTTACCACTGTATCTTAAAGCATGTTGTACAGTTTCTTAAATGTGATCTAAATTAATGACATAGATTGAAAGCACCAACTGCAATTTTCAAGGTCAGTTCTTTTGTTCAGCTCTGATCTGCTGATTTGATTCTGATGTTCACATTTTCTCTAGCAGCTAAGAGAATGGTTTGTAGAAATGATGCCATTACTTTGTATTTTGTATTCATACCAAAACACCACATCAGTAAATTAGATAATTTTATATATATATACATACACACACATATATATATATATGAATGCATGTATGTATGTATGTATGTGTGTGTGTGTGTGTGTGTGTGTGTGTGTGTGTGTGTGTGTGTGTTTTCTATCCAAAAGATACTAGAAATAGCAGTTTGTCAAATAGATAGGCTGTGTTTGTTAAAGTCTCATCACAAAGGGCAAAAAGCCCTTTGGGTGAATAACCAACCATAATCATTGTTACAACCTTTGCTTAGGTACAAGCTCCATATCCTGGCCTCAGATGGGAAGTGGGAAGATTATACAACTGTGACAGTGAGTGTGGTCAATAAAAATGACGAGGCTCCGGTGTTCACCGTTAACGAGTACTACGGCAGCGTAACCGAGGAGCTGGATGGGTCGCCTGTGTTTGTGCTTCAGGTATTCTGCATTTATTTCCCCTTCTTGATAGAGCTCGAGGGACTCCGGGGCAATTATCTGCTTGTACTGCATGTTTGTGTGATCACTACTCACTTGTTAAAAAAACATGCAAAATGAGTTGTTATAGTTGGCAATAAAAATACAAGTTTGTGCCTCTAATTTAATGTCTTTTTATATTTATTGTCATCAAGAAAGGCAATAAGTACTGGACAGAAAGTCTGGTATTTATTGCCTCAGATGGTAGAATTTATAGCTTCTTTCCCAGGATTCATGAGTGAAGTACCTAAACAGCTTGAATCCATTATCCGTGCTTTTATTACCTTACTGCTGGACAACTTAAACTCCTCCCTGATAGGTGTCAAAAAACATCCATTGCTCGCCTCCAGTTAGTCCAGAATGTGGCGGCCATTTTTTCCCATTCCCATTAAGATGTCACACCACTTCTCTGCTCATTGCACTGCTTCCCAGTCTGTTTTAGAATTCAGTTTAAGATTCTTTGTTTTTAAACCCTTGAATGGGTGCACCGCCCCAAACATTTCAGAAGTGCTTTGTCCATGGCCTTCTGGCACCCTCAGGTCTTCTACACTCTTGTTCCTCTGTGTTCCAAAGTCACCCCTTAAAGGTGTAGTTCACTCGTTTAATCAGCACATTGGCAGTGGTCTCTAGTAGAAATAAATGCCACATCCAAGCTGAGCTTCACACAGCAGGTTTTAGAGACTTATTTCCTGATATTTGGACATCTAGTCTCTGATTGGCTAACAGTAACACAACTCTACCACTGACTCCATTTGCTCTGCAGCGTTGAGGTTTTATCTCCACAAATAACACAAGCCAGAATGAGCTTCTGCCATGTGTTGAAGTTGCTAATGCTAACAATTAGCTTCTGATAGTCAATGAGTGTTTCACAGTCCCAATGAGCATTGATTTGATGTCTTGGCCCCGCCCCAGTTGCCTAGGAGATACATCATTAGGAACCGCCAAGCCGTGTTCCAATGTTCATGTTCTAACGAGGCGTCTGTTCTCCGTTTGTTACCCGTTTAGCTAGCTGAGCAAGGATACACGGGAGGTGTCTTGTAGCCTAGCCTTGATGAAAAATTACCCACAATACACCGCAATATTTTCCAAAGGATGGTGACTCAGGAGCCGGCAGCTTCTTCGGGGGCAAATTTCAAGTCTAAATATAAGTAAACTAATTTTAGCTACCGGGTTGATATCTGAAATGTTTTTTTTTAATATCGAAAGCAGCTGTCTATGGTTGGTTAGTAGTTGCAGCTTAGGTGGTAGGTAGGTGTAACTCACTTACAAATGTAATTGAACAAATATATAAACATTTTAAAAAGTAAAAGGCTTGTTATATATTTATATTGAAACTTATACGAATAAATATTATCTCCCGTGTCACGTGACGTTACGTGATGTAGGTCTGTTCCAATTACCGTTTTCTTTGACCAAGGAAGGACAGTGTCCTCATAAGCAAGGCGCCTGGCCTCGCTTATGACATTGACATTGAGAAACACCCAAGATGTTCCCTGCTGTTTCCTGAAGGCTAAACCAACAACAGCCCTCCCCACCATGACTCAATGTGGGTGAGTCCATTAGCATTAAGTGACAGTGTGAACTATAGTTCTATCAGGATTTTCAAATCCTAGAGTTTCCCCGTCTCTCTTCCATCAGAAGCTGCAGGAGATAGGTGTCATGTTCAGCCTACATGCAAAGCTCATAGTGACTGATTTTAATCAGAAATAACAATTACAACATGGTTTTTCAGTGTTCAACACCTTTAAAACCAGAGACGAGCGTGCCTTTCTTGGTATATGGTCCTAAGCTCTGGAATGATCGCCCACTCTGTCTGCGTCCCTGTGCATTTTTGAAGTTTGCCTTTAAACTCATTTGTTTAACTTGGTTTGTAACTGATTTTGACTTATAGAGTCACTGTGCTTTGAGTGGTTTGTATGCAATGTTTTTTGTTTTTCGATTAAGCTTTTTCCATTTATTTATTTTTTTACATATCCCCTTATAATCTTGTTTTGTGTAGGCTCTGTTACTGTTTTTTTTTTTTTTTTTTTTTGCCTTTTCTTTCTGTAAAGCACTTCGGTGGGCTCTTATGCCCTGTGGAAAGTGCTTTATAAATAAACTGGACCTGGAAGTCAAGTGTTTAAAGAGATGTTGGGCTATCGGATACCTCTTGTGACTAATGTCGTACTGATTTGACTAGATCTAATGAAAAAAATACATAAATAAATTTTATATTTACTATAAATATATAAAATGTATTGATTTATTTGTATTTATATGGGTGACATATATACATTATTGAGTGTTATCAATCAATCAATCAATCAAACTTTATTTCAGACAAGGGATATGTCCATAACAAGAATAAAAAATATGATTCAGAACCTTCAGTGTTCTTGGTGGAAACATCTGGATTTATTTTTGTGGAACTATAAACAGGTCCAGACCTGAAGATATTTTTACGCTGCATTTGGTCACCACTGGTGTCCATGTACCAGAGCTCCAGATGTATAATATATGGAATTCTATGTAACTGACGATAATCAGATCTTTTGCTGAGTTTGCGACAGAACATTTTAACTCCTGAGTATAATTTTAATTGTGAACTTTTTTTTTCTACTTGAAATACAGCAGAAAACTGTTTAGTTTTAATAAATCTAGTTTCAGTTTTGTGATGCTTTAGCTGGGTCAACCCGCCTGAGTTTACAACAGCAAATTGAGGCCATTAAATGCGTCAAAAGCCTAGCATCTAGTCTACTTTCAAAATACACACTCATTATTCTTTTATCTTGTTGTCCTGTGATGTTCCAGGTGACGGCATCTGACCCAGATAAGGACGCTGACCAGGAGGCCCTGCGTTACTCCCTCCATGGTCAGGGTGCAGAGAGTGAATTCATAATAGATGAGGTCTCAGGCAAGATTTACGCCCAGCGGACCCTGGACCGCGAGGAACGAGCTGTTTGGCGTTTTGTTGTCCTTGCAACAGATGAGGGTGGCGAGGGCCTGACAGGCTTCACAGATGTCATCATCAATGTGTGGGACATCAATGACAATGCACCCATCTTCCCTTGTGCTCTCAGCTGTCATGGAGATGTAGCAGAAAACTCTGTAATAGGAACTTCTGTCATGGAAATGACTGCAACTGATCTGGATGACTCCGCTGTGGGGCAGAACGCTGTGCTTTCCTATAGAATAGTGGGCAGTATGGATGCCACTAACGCTGCCTTAGGAGGAGTACCCACATTCTCAGAAATGTTCACCATCAACCCCATTACAGGAACGATCACTGTGGGATTAGGAGGTCTGGACAGAGAACAAGTCGAGTCCTACCTAATTGTTGTGGAGGCCAGAGATGGTGGAGGGATGGCAGGAACTGGAACTGCAACCATTCAGGTCAAGGATGTTAATGACCATGCTCCAAGGTTCACAGATCATTCCTGCCTGGCAAGGATCTCTGAGAATGCAGAACTCAATGCAGAGGTGGGTCAAGACACGTCACTACTCAGGGCTGCCTTGTTTCACTTAACCTTCCCACTCTCTTTATGGGTGACCCCACAAAGAAAGTGTACCATTGAGCAGGATGGATGGTTTATCCCTTGGGTCCATGTGGCGGGGTGAGGTGGTGCTCACTCCTCACCCCGCCACATGGACCCAAGGGATAAACCATCCTTCCTGCTCAATGGTACACTTTCTTTATGGGGTCACCCATTAAGAGAGTGGGAGGGTTAAACAGTTGTCGTTTTAAAAACATTGGCTAGTGTACATTTTCTAATTTATTGTGACTGTTTAGTACAGCAATGAATCCACAAGGATGTGAGTCTCAAACAATCAACAATAATAAAAAAAGGTTCCAGTTTTTTAAATATTGCCCTGAAATATTTGACCTAAAGTAAATGCCACCTAGACTCCAAAACCAGCAAGTCTACATGAATCTGAAAGGTTTTTGTTCAGGCTGAGTCAAAACATTGTATAGATCCTACATGGTTGCCTTCTTAAGCTGAATGTTAGTTATTGATGAGTGAAATAATTTGCTTCTGATATTCTCTATTTTTTGGTAACTACAAAATAAAGCGTCCAGTGGCAGAGTTAGGATTCTTATTGTGGCAGAACTTCTGCTGAGTTTACAGCAAAGAAACAGTTATTGCTCTAATGACAAATGAGTCGTAATTCTGAAGTGGTATCTCAGCTGGAATGGGTCAGATGTCCCTGACTTTATAATAAGTCATTTTTCTTTTGAAAATGTTTAATTACACAATTTTAAATTTGCCGACTCGATCAAGGACCTAATTATTCATTAGTTATGCAGCAAATGTATTATTGCACCAGCGTAAAGATAGCTCATTAGATGTTTGTGATAACAACGATTATGGTAGCACATTGTAGGGTTTACCAAGAACCCAGTGTAATAATATCCACATCATACATACACCTTGTAAAATGTGCACCTTTAATATTATAGTTTTACTGCACAAGCACTGACTCTAAACTACCAAATATAAGTACATTAAAAGCATTTAAATTCATGTATGTGAGTTTCTGTAGAGGATCACAGTGTAGGGAGACAATATATTTACACAGATCAGTTTACTTTGTTGTGTTGTCTAAAATAAGACTGTTCTTTATTGTGTTCAGAACAAAAGAAGTCAAATCTAAGTTTGACTTTTCATCAATGTTGTTATTTCCCTTTATTAACTCATTCACTGCCAGCGTTTTTGAGCGTTTTCACAGTTTTTTGAAGAGTCACAGAACATTGTGCTCTATGTCCATGTAAACACCAAAACTACCAAAAGAAAGAGACTTCTTTCATCAGGAAGAATCAGCGTGTTTCTAGCTTTTTCCATTCCTTCAGAATCCGTTGTCCAAGTGTGAGCGGCAGAGCTTTTCCAGTTAGCGCCTCACTCTTTGAACCCGTTGGTACAAGAAGCCAAAGTACAACTTTGCACCATTCTACCTCAGAAATGTATGCACATGTGCTGAACACTCCCTGTGTCAATCTAAGGTCCTGGAGCTTGTGGCAGAAGACCGTGACACGGGAGAAAATGCCCAGCTGACCTTTAGTGTTGTGGCTGGAGATCAAGAACAGAAATTTTACATGGTCAGTCACAAGCAAGAGCAGCGGGGCATCCTGAAGCTTAAGAAACGTTTGGACTATGAACGACACAGTGAGCAGAGGTTCAACCTCACACTGAAGGTAGGAAAAGTAACTTTGGTTTAACTTTGATCTGAGTTCACGTGATTTTAACTGGTTAAACCTTTATTCGCCCTGGGGTTTCCCTGCCGGTAGATGTGATGCTGTATATGTGGCTTCTCCTCTAGGTTGAAGACCTAGACTTCTCAAGCTTTCTTCACTGTGTAGTCGAGGTAGAGGACTACAATGACCATGCTCCTGTCTTTATTCCACACTTTCTGTCCCTTGCCCCATTATCTGAGGACATCAGCGTGGGAACCAGTGTGGCTCATCTGGTCGCCAGTGATTCAGATTCAGGCCAGAACCGTGAAATCACTTACAGCCTGTTGGAGGACTCAGATCCTGATGGGTTGTTCACTATTGACCAGTCAGGTGTAATCTCTGTGGCCCGACCACTGGACAGAGAGAAATCCCCTCAGCATCACCTGGTTGTCATAGCAACAGATCATGGGTTTCCACCGCTAATAGGTAGCGCCACAGTGCAGCTGCCTCTGTTGGACATAAATGACAACGGCCCAGAGTTTGAGGCAGCGTATGCCCCGATAGTCTTCGAGAACGTGGCTGGACCTCAGGTAGGCTCCGTTCTTCTTGACTAGGTCTTCTGGTAGATTGGGTCATTTTAATGACTAAAATTATAAATACATCCCAGATGATTTTTCCAGGTGTTCTCTTCCCTAGTCCTTACTTTTTTATTGTTTTGCTGTAATTAGTTCATACTTGAAACAGCTGGAGCAGGAGTGGGTGCAGGATTGAGTCACAGATGTAATTTCAGCGTTTGACTCAAGTGGTAGAGTTATCCAATAGCCCAGGCCAGTTTCATTGTCTCGTTTTTGTTATATTATTTTGTATCTGTACTGGTGTTTATTTCTTATTCTTACTTTTGCTAAGTTTTTGGGTGAGTTTTAGTTATTTTGTGAATTTCTCTTCTTCTAACAGAAAGTCCCTGTGATTTTATCCAATTCGTTACCCATTTATTACCATAATAAAGACAATGCCGTTGGTGATGTGATTAAAAACCTTGTCCCTCCTCGTTTAGGTAGTAAGGTTGAACCAAACATCAACACTTCTCCGAGCTGTTGACCAGGACTCTCCTGAAAACGGACCACCCTTTCATTTCACCGTGCCTCCTGAGTATCGCTATAGCAACGACTTCTACCTTCAGGACAACTTGAACGGCACGGCAACTATAACAGCTCTGAGGACGTTTGATAGAGAACGCCAGAAGGAGTTCCTTCTTCCCATAGTGATGAGTGACAGCGGCCATCCTGCTAGAACAGTGACCAGCACCCTAACTGTGACCATTGGTGATCAGAATGATCACCCACATGTGGCAGGGGAGAAGCAGATCTCCATCAACAGTCACAGAGGTGAGAAGAGTTCTCCTGTAGGATGGAGAAACAGGCAACACCAACAGCTAACACATCTTAAAAATACCCAAACTCAGTCGTCTTTGCTGTGTTTGTACTGGTGACCTTGCACAGGTTGTGTTTTAACTACAGTCCTTTCTGTGTGGAGCTCTGAAAGACAAACATTTTCATAGAGTCACAGGTTTGTTGTTGAGGTTTTCACTTAGCCGCACGGCTGGTTTACATGTTGAGTTAAAGCAAGACAAAAAAAGTAGTCAGCATTTATTTTTTGGTCAAACTGGCTGTTTTGTGTTTGTTCAGGCTTCCTATTTTCTACAGGAGACACACATTTGCATCCACTCTAATTAAAGGCCTTGGTGGTTTAAAAACTTAACATTTATTCGTTGGCACTTTTATTCCAATAAAACCAACAAGCTGATTCTGTAGTGTTTAACTTTTTTCCTTTAAAGCTCAGAGCAGACAGACAAGCTGAACCTCATCAGTTATTTGGAACCAGAATAATTCCCCTACCACCGTGCATTCATGCGCTTACTTCCAGTCTCACTTTGGTGTGTTGCTGAAACTCTTTCTAAACTGAATAAAATTTGCATTGATGCTGGGGCATTTTTAACTTTTTACTGACAGTCCAAGTATTCTGACATTTTCTCTTCTTTTGTTTAGGTCGAATGCCAACAACGGTGCTTGGGAAGGTCTACGCCCCGGACCCCGATGATTGGGACAACAAGACGTATGTCTTTGAAGGTCATATGCCGAGGTGAGAAACATGTCCTCTTGTTACTTGTTTCATACCAAAAATATGTTATAAAATAGTTTAAATGAGTGCTAATTCTGCTTATTACGTCCCTCAGCCCGCTAGGAGAGATGTTGTTGAGGGAGAAATAAAGTTGGTGTGTGGGTTGAATAATAACGGAGTGCAGTGTCGCTGTACCAAGGATTTTAATTACAGAAAGAAAAGCCAAAAATAGTTACAGCCATAATATATACAAAACTAAAGGAGATACACACAAAAGGGAAACTAAAAGCGCCGCCCCATAAGGGGCCGGGAGGGGGGATTAACTAACCGTAATACAATTACTACAAACCCCAAGCTAATTGACGTCCTGTTAAGCAGGGACGCTGGGAAAAGTCCACAAGCAGAGTCAAAGAGCCGTATAGGTCGGGGTTACCAGAGAGTCAAATGCTAATCCTAATATCTAATCGAATATCTAAAGCCGAAACTAACGAAACGCACGCGAGGAGAAGAGAGCAGCAAAAACTCTTACGAGTCTCCACCACCCTGGACCTTCTCAAAGACTGTGGGCAGGAGAGCAGCTTTTAACAGCTGATCCATGATTGCCCTTTACACACAGCTGAGCAGGAGACAGACGAGGCAGATGCCACTGAGGCCGGAAAGGGGCAGAGCACGTAACACTGCTGAATGTGTATTCTTTCTTGTTGGAGTATTAAATACGTGTCATCTATTACAGGTGGTTGAAAGATAATGCTGTCAATAGTAAATGAGCTTTATTTATACCTCATCCTTAGCCATTCACACAGTAAGCTGGAATAGAGCCAGCAACTACCAATTAGATCATTACCCTGGACCAACGCTGTTCCATGGTAAGGTAAAAAAAAGAAACTTGAAAAAGAAACCAAAACAGTTTATATAGTCGTTTCAGTAGTATCTACTTTCATGTATTTAATCAAAGGTGTCACATCTGATACACCAAGCTTAATGCACACTTTTATTCCTCAAATTTCATTTGAACCTTTTTGAAGTATAAAAGACTATAAATGATTGATATCTTACTTACTGTACTGAAATTTACAAGTGAAACTCATGTCAGTAATCCATCTTAGACTGAGAGACCATCTAAAGGCTCAGGAGCCCTCTGCAGGTGTTCTGGATTCATTCGCTGATTAGAGTGTGACACTTGAATCTAGAATATTGAACCTTTTCACAATAATCTAGTTGTTGGAGATTTTGAATGTGGGACTGTCATCAGCTGTGAGCCATAATCATAACATTTCTAACAAATAAAGGCTGAAATATTTGGTTGTCCTTGGAATGAGTCTGTCTCATAGATTAGCCTCACCTTTTAAGTTGAGTTACTGACATTAGTGAAGCTTTTCACCATGTTCTAATTTATTTGTTGCACTTGTAGCTTTTGCTGATGAGCTGGTGAGGTGAGACCTAGTGTGAGTGCAAGCACCACCAAAGTGCCAATTTAAAACCAGCCGCAAAAAAAAAATAAAAATAAAAAATTATATATATATATCTATCTATATATATATATATATATATATATATATATTTTTTTTTTTTTTACAGTGCCATCAATCCAGTATTAGATTAACTCTATGGTTAGGACCAAGCCCCCACAATGCAGGTAAAAAATTGAAGCAAACACGGAAATGAAATAAATTGCAGTTCCACCCTCATCCACTGGGGGCTGGTGTCAGAAGCGAGCAAATCCTCATTGACTCCCATGTTAAAAATACCAATTTCACAGCAGAAAAAAACATGTTTACAGCCTAGTACCAAAACATGTTTTTGGTTTAAATGATCTAATTTACACTCATGACAACTCTGAGGGGGGTGAATTTTTTTCTCACTCTTCTGTTTGAGTGTATTAAAAGCCTAAAATTCTGTATAATTAATGAGCATCCGACCCACGTGACCACAGAGCTAGCTCTGTGGAAAGGCCTCAGTAGAGCCTCGGTCTGGCCTGGAAACTGCTCCGGGATTTTGAGTCTCTGTGTTTGTGTATTCTTGTTTGGATATTATTTGTGCAATTGTTGGACAAAATGACTTGCTGTGGCATTAATTGCACTAATAGAGCGTCCAAGGAGTCTCCACTTCATTTATTTCAGTAAGTAAAATTATATTTATGTATTTTAGGTCACTGCCGAGCTGAGCTTAGATTTTAACATGTACTGTTTAACCATGAAATTTAAATGTAATAGGGTAAAACCCAGTGCATTTAACATAATGCTGCACTTTAGAAAATGGGTTGAAATATAACATGTTGGTGGAGCTGGGTTCCGACTATCGGCTTGTGGAGCTTTCGGGACACCGTTTTCCACCCGGTTCTCCCCTCCCTGCAGCTCGGCGCATCTGTCTGATCGCAGCTTCTGTCTGTTGCGTGGACAGCCGGCTTGTGGAGCTCTGGGATGGAAACCTTTCCACCCGGTTCTCCCCAGCAGCAGCTTTGCGCATCTCAGATCGCAGCGGCGCTTGTCTGCTGTGCGGCTGCCAGCTTGTGGAGGTCTCGGAGACCTCTGTGTTCCACCCGGTTTTACCCAGTGGTCAGCCCAGCGTATCTCTGACTCAGAAGCTCTGGTGTTGTGCACAGTTAACTCTGGTTGTAGCTAGGTTGCTACCTCCGTTAGCTTAGCTCCCACCTCCGCGTTAGCTTTGGGTTAGCTTCAGGTTAGCTTGTAGCTAGTTCGACCGGTGTCGGTACAAGATCTGCTCGGGTGCAAGATCGGCTCGGGGTCCTTCGGCTGCCGATGACGTCAAAGTACGGCAAACCCACTCAAACAAAATACACCACAAATCTATACTGTTGGAAAGAATTTAGCAGTTTCGTTATTAAAATAATGTTTCTTAAGATGTAAGTTTGTGTTTATAATGGTATTTGTAAAAGAAAACACTGTATTTTATTCATAATGTTGAACTCCTCTTTGAGCACATCCCTTGAAGGATCATAGGTATTAGCAACACCTGTGAAATTGAATTTGCAGGAAAGAAGTGTGTCCCGTTTATTGAAGTATTTTGTGTTTAGAGTTTTTGACGTCTTGTCCATGAGTAGTTCAGTTACGCTCATATTAGCTGCTAGCCAAAACTCTGGAGTTAAAAGTTTTCTGGCTTTACTAAAATACCTGTCTGTGCTTATTTGATTGATGATAGTTTTACTTTCTTTTAGACTCCAAATGTAATCATTTGGCACGTTTCTAATTTATAATTTGTAAGAATGTAATCGGTGATATTAGCATTAGCATTCCTATGGGTTTTTCCATGTATATTAGCATTGCGCTAACCACTCGCTGCCAAATTGCAGCCTTTGCAATTAGAAAATCTCCTTTTGTCACATCGCAATTTAATTGCACATGCAGTTAATCGTTCAGCCCTAATATACATACAGCTCTATGCTAAAAGTGTATTTTCAAAGAGGTAATGATGGATTTCTTTGTAAAAGTTGTCCATCTTTCCAACAGAAAGATTTGCCTGGACCAACGTAACGTGATAACAACGTAATGTGATTACGTAATTCCGTAAGGTTCATGTTCAGCCAATCAACTACTTTGACGTCATCGGCAGTCGACGGACCCCGAGCCGATCTTGCACCCGAGCAGATCTTGTACCGACACCGGGTGTCGTCAGTTGATCCCAGCCTTACAGCCCCACCCTCAGCTCCACCTCTCTTCCCTTTTGTGGAATTATCTGGGCTTGACGGAACCTGTGACACGGTCAAAATGGCGGTGGTGGCCACCTCCTATTTATCTTCAAAAACGTGTTATTGGAATCCTATGGAAACCCGTTGTCCAATATTTATATGTCGATGGTTAGGACTCAAATCTGACATCATTTTTAAAGATACATTATGTAGAATTGAAGTAAAAAAATTGCATCCAATGGTAAAATGTGGTTACTGCAACCACTTTAAACAACTCTTGAGCTTTTTACTGGCCAGTGTCAAATTACAATAGTCAGTGCTGCAGTATTAGCTCGTAGGAGACACGGTACCCCCACACTCACTGAACGTAAACAGTGGGGGTGCCTTTGTTTTGAAAGGAGAAAAACTGACAATCCCCGCAGCCAGCTGGATATGAAACATGTTTTAGTACAACCTTCCTTCCAAAATTAAACATTAGACTCTTTTGGGATTTTCTCACTGTAAAATTCTTACCATCTTCTTACATACTGTACCTTTAAGTATCAGTTCAATACAGCATGTGTTTAGCTCCCAAGCCCAACATACTAGGAATCAGCTCCTTTTTTGGCACTGGTTGTTGAACAACTTGTCAGAAGGCGGAGATAATGAGACCAACAACCACTGAAAATTTTGTGAGCCATGTTAAAAATCTCTGAGTTTGTTTCACCTTTACTCTGAATAACTGGAGAATAACTTGAGTTCATTTCCTTTGAACTTCCTGGAGTTTTGCATTTGAATCTCCAGTTGCTTAGTTAAAGTGGTGCAAAACATCACCTAGATCTGCCTTTATGAACTAACATGGTTCTGCTTATGAATATCATCGACTCCTATTATCACTGACTTCTGTTTATAGACCCTGGTCATGTGGAAATCCCATTGATGATAAAACAGTGTTTATAACAATGCATGGTTATGTTGGGACATCGGTCAAAGGAATACAGAGGCACTGATCTGGATAGATAAACTGTCTGTCTGCACTGTGCTCCTCTACAGATAAGCAGGATTTACATATTAGGGCTGAACGACTTTAGGAGAAGATTGAATTGTGATTTTTTTCTAGGTGAAATTGCAATTTCAGTTCGGTTCATGATTTTCTTCACATCAGGGTTCACAATAGAGTCATATAAACCACACCTTAAAACCATTAAAAGCTGCTAATTTTCTCCCATGGTTATCTTGTTTAATGTTTTTTTTTATGTATTTGTGAAGCAACTTGTGATTTTTATCTAACGAGGCGGATTTGCAAAAAGAACCATCTGATGACTGGACAGACAGACAGACTCCCTCCTGAGCTACTGCTGCCTCAGGGCTAAAGTCATTAAGGTGCTATCAGTGC